ATCCAAGAACATCCTTCCCACAGCTGTTCTCTCTCTTCCATCTCTCACTCTATTCAGGTGTCTTCTCAGAGGGGCCGTTGGCCCCGTGTCCCCATCACTCACTAGCCTCTGACATGCCCACAATTCTCTTCATGGTACTAGTTACCATCTGAGTTGTAGTATTTTTTATAATCCTCACCCAAGAATATTTTTCTGTTTATCTTCTGATAGAGTGGGCAAGAAGGAGAGAGAGGAAGAGAGGGAGAGAGAGAAGCATCGACGTGAGAGGGACACATTGACTGGTTACCTCCCACATGACCCGACCAGGGCGGGGATGAACTGCAACTGAGGTACGTGCCCTTGGCCAGAATCAAACCCGCAACTCTTTGGTCCGCAGGCCAATGCTCTAACTGCTGAGCCAAACCAGCCAGGACGAGTTGTAGTATTTTATGTTTACTAATTCGCCATTATTTCATGAAGGTTCACAGGAACACAGTCCGTTCTGTTCAGGGCCCAACATGTGATGGGCACTCATTGAGCATCTGTTGAATGAATGACTAGTGGACGTTTAATAACATTGCTTTGCTTTTAAAATATGAGCATTTCCTAGAAGTCGTTAGAGGAATCCAATCCAGAAGGTAGGAAGACGACATGAAGGTTCAGGAACTTGGAACTTAGCAGAGGTCAGAATAGGAGGACAGCAAGAGTCAGGTCTCTTTGCAGACAGAGTTCCACCAAGACAGCCTGCTGTGCGTCAGACATGAGGCAAGGCCTGGGGGTCTGGGTGACCACCCCCACCCCAGTCAGGTTCAGGGCTCAGCTTCGGGATTTCGGGTGACTCTGGGCCTGTGACGTTGGGCAGATGATTGGTTTCACTTAGTTTAGTGTTTATCAGTCTTTTCCATTCTTGTCCCCCTCTCCTCACCCTGGAGAAACAAATTTAATTTATTTAAACGTTATTAATTTTACATAGAAATTAAATACTAAGGTGTAAGATTTTTTTCAGATAGGATTGAGCTGTATGGGGTGGGGATAGATTGGAGGGCACTAACCATTCTAATATCTAAGACATGTTTGGACCCCCACCCTCAAACTAGTTTCCACCCCCTCATTACTGACATCGCCCCGATGTGAATGCTTAAGTTAGCTGAAAGGGGATCCCAGAAAGTTGGTGGGTACTAAACACAGTATCAATAAATTACTTTAGTAACAGACGCATTTATTTTTCATGCTAAGGCTGTCAGCTTCAGGCTACTGAAAATCAATTTAAATTATCATGGCTGTTTGCTTGAGATGAGACTCTAATCGGAGAATTATATATGGTAGACAGAAGTGACCTGGACCATGTGGCAGAACTCCATGTCCACAAGTCCTGCTCACTGTTGATATGGATTGACCTTCAGAATGAGACACTTTTAGACCTTAGTGGATCCGCCACAGGGATGTTGGTACTTGTAACTGTTCACAGAGTTCTGTTCTTTTCTGATCAACGTTTTGTACATGTTTCACGTACAAATGTTTCAATGGATGTTGTGGAAGAACCATGCTTTACATAGCATTGCAAAGTTATGTATCTTTTCTTACACTTGAGTCATCTCACATTATTGAGATGGATCAAATACCTCTGCTTCCCTTGTTTATAGAAAATCCCAGGAAAAGGAGTTGATAGACTAGGGAGCTGGAAGGATTACTGGAAAACTCCCAATTATAGGTATAGAAATGAAAAGTTGTATAGCCCATGAACATCAAAGTAAGACGAATAGTCTTTGAGGGTGTCTATACACCTGAAATAATTTTTCATTTTCTGAAAACTCCTTCCCTGACCTCACCACATTCAGAGTCAGAGAGTGGGCTCCTGACAGCCAGATTGGTATCTCATGACTGTCCCCCTTGTCCATAACTGACTGGACCACAGGTGGACAACTGCTCTAAGCTGAGACAATCATCTTTGCTCACCTCCGGTGTAGCATTTAACAACTTTTGAGTTGCAAAGCATAGAAAACAACTTAAAATAAAGTTTATTTTTGTTAAAAGGGTTTTTTTTAGTTTAATTTTCCTCTAGCATTTTTCCTTCTTTTTTTAAGCAGTTAAGTTTTAAAAGTGTAATTTATTATAAGGATTGGTATGGTCCTTCAGATTGAAGAGATGGTCGTACTGCACCCCCATCCGGGATGAGCAAGTCCAGCATCTCTCCAGGGTACCAGAGCGCTCTTTCCCTAGTCTTGCACCTCTGTCCTCGACTGAGCAATTTTATTTCTTGCCAAGATGGCTTTTTTTGCTACTCAGTTAACACAGCAGGTGGAATATTGGCATCTAGGATCCCTAGTTCACAAGTTGTGGTTCTCACCACCCACTCGAGACTAGACCCTTTCTCTCTGGGTCCCAGAGCTCAGTTCTCAGGGCAGGACTCTGTTCCCTGGCACGAGATGCCCGCTCTGGGCCCGTTGCCAGGGGCCAGGGGCTTCATAGGAGGACATGGCTGCTGGCCGTATACCTCTGTCGGTTCCATTAAGAGGGCTGCTATAGTCTTATCACACACTAGTTTCCATTTATTTATGCATCTCCCCACCAGACTATGAATTCCTTCAGGACAAGGAATTTGCCTTATTGACAGTATATTCCCAGCACCAAGTTCAAGGCCTGGTTGTTAATCGATGTTCAATATATAGGTATTGCATGAATACAAGTTGACATGAGAAAAAGGAAATTCTTTATTACTCTTAAGTTTGGTTTTCTTCCATCAGACTTATTTAAAGAGTATCTTGCCCAAGATAATCTCTCTGCTTTCACGTGTGTGGAATCATTGGAGCGGAGACCAACACTTTGGATCACAGACCATTAAAATTTGAATTTAAAGGCTCTTTTAAAAATTGTTTTAAGTCATTGTGTGTCTACAAGGTGGCAGGCACTGTGCTTGGGTAGGGAGTATATTGTTGAGTAGGACATGGTCACTGTGTTTGAGGATCTCTCCACTGAGTTTGAGAGATCTTGGAAATCACTTAGCTTAACTTTCTCATTTTACAGATGAGGAAAAGGAGGCTTCGAAAGGTTGCTAGGCCTGATGGAAAATGTTTTGATTTATTCACAAGATTTTAATATCTCTGTGTGGCATTACTTTGCAGTGAGAGGTGTTACTTATTTTGGCCAAAGGGAACATTCAATTTCTGTGCATTTATGGATTACCTTTTCTCTGATTTTGCATTTCTTTTTAATAGACATGTGATTATGTAGATGATATTTGTGAAACTTTTCATTTACTTGGAACCCATTAATGGCTGGCACTCGAGTTGTTTGGAGAGTCGAAAATTATGATACTAGACATTTCTTTATGGTTACTGAGTAATAAGGTTATTTATTATTGACACGGCTTCCGACACCTCTCCCATTTATTATTATTTCTTGTTAAATCACTTCCTGAGAAGACGACGAATGTTTTCCATCTTTGATGGCACAGTTTATATTGACTTTTCTCTGGCCGAGAGTGAAGTTCAGAGAAGAGAGTGAAAGGGGTCATTTTTCTGCATTTACAGGGGATGAAGGTGAAAATTTTCTTTGGTGAAAAAGAAGAATTGATGATAAAATTCAATTAACCTTTCGCTGGGGGCCCGGGATGTGCCAGGCACTGTGCAGAGTTCGGCGGGAACAGGACTGCACCAGGTCTCCGCTGGCTGCTGAGCACATCGTGGCTCTAAGCCTTGTGCTCAAGGACCAGCCCTGGACGGGCCGAGTCCTCTCACCCAGCAGCTTGGAGAAACATTTCTCAGAGGAGAAGGCTGTGGGGTTGGCCTTAGAGTGGGTTGGTTTTAAGAGTTTGCCAAAGGAAAAGAAGAGAGGAGACCAAGAGCTGTAGGCTGCTGAGGGACAGGGTTCCCCGGGACCTGCATGATGCAGATGGAATCCGTGCTGAGCTCAGGACGGCGACGTCCTAGGGCCGACCCTGTCTCTGTGCTGCTGGCTGGCTCCTCCTCCTCTTGGTAGCAGTGTAAGAACATGGTTCTGGGTGGAGAGCCTTCCGGGTGTGCAGTTGGACAGATCAAGGCAAATGGAGATAGATTTCAACTTCCTAGGAATGTACGGTCTTAAATATGTCCTGAATCTCTCTATGATCTTCCAAGGAGTCTTATCACACAGACTCCTGGTTGGATGTGAGCTTTATGGGGGTTGTCCTGGCAAAAGTCATCTCGTGTCCCTGCTGATCGGGGAAACTTCCTAGAGAAGGTCACTGTCCCAGGGGTTTCTGTGCGAGGGAACGACGTGCGTGTGTGTGTGTGTGTGTGTTTGTGCGTGTGTGTGTGTGTGCATGTGTGTGTCTGTGCTAGGGAACGGCATGCGTGTGTGTGTGTGTGTGTGTGTGCGTGTGTGTGTCTGTGTGAGGGAACGGCGTGCGTGGTGTGTGTGTGTGTGTGCGCGCGTGTGTGTGTGTCTGTGTGAGGGAACGGCGTGTGTGTGTGTGCACATGTCTGTGTGTGTGTCTGTGCGAGGGAACGGCATGCGTGGTGTGTGTGTCTGTGTGTCTGTGTGTCTGTGTGTGTGTGTGTACTGGGCAGAGGGAGCCAAGCGGGGAAATGGGGAGAGGCATTAGGCTTCTGGCTGCAAATGCAAACATCGCCCTGCTGTAATACAAGAGGCCGTGTGTTCCGTGTCAGAGGCTCACTGTTGTGACTGGAAGGAATTTTTTGTTTTTTCCTCTTGCAGGTGTGAATGAATCCGCTGATGAGGGCTACCCGGTTTCCAGGTCTTGGGCACGGGCCCTGCTGTGATATGAACCAGGCGAAGCCGTGTTGGACACCTCGTCCCGTCCCTCACTGAGCACTGCAGACACGGTCATCCCTCTGCTGGCCTGTGTCCTGCCCTCCTGCCACAGCGAGCAGCCCGTCCCAGGCAGGCCCCCGTCTGCCAGCCCGACCATGAACACAGGCACAGCCGAGCACAAGCAGGGTTCCCGAGGGACGTGGGGCCCCATGGGGTCCGGCCCCCAGGAGCAGGTCCTCTCATGACGCTGGTGTGCGGGAGTGAGCACCATGCCCATCACCCAGGACAATGCCGTGCTGCACCTGTCCCTGCTCTGCCGGTGGCTGGAGAACAGCCTGCGGGAGGGCGGGGACGGGCCGGAGCAGCGGCTGTGCCAGGCCGCCATCCAGAAGCTGCAGGAGTACATCCAGCTCAACTTCGCCGTGGACGAGAGCGCGGTGCCCCGTGACCACAGTCCCCCGGGGATGGAGATCTGTACCGTGTACCTCACCAAGGAGCTGGGGGACACGGAGACTGTGGGCCTCAGTTTCGGGAACATCCCTGTCTTCGGGGACTATGGAGAAAAGCGCCGGGGGGGCAAGAAGAGGAAAACGCACCAGGGCCCCGTGCTGGACGTGGGCTGCATCTGGGTGACGGAGCTGAGGAAGAACAGCCCGGCCGGCAAGAGCGGGAAGGTCCGGCTGCGGGACGAGATCCTCTCCCTGAACGGGCAGCTGATGGTCGGGGTTGATGTCAGTGGGGCCAGGTGAGTGGGCAGTTTCTTTCTGCACTAGTTTTTGCACATACCTACGTGGGTTTTGTCCTAAAAGGTGGTGAGCAGGAATTAGGGTGCTGTGGAGAGCCCAGTGTACCCCTCCGCTCATCAGCCAGCAGCCTCCTCGGGTCACCCGTGCATGCATCAGATTTCAGGGGTCGCCAACTTCCTGCCTACCCCGCCACGGTGACAAGTCAGCCGCACTATTACTTGCAATGACAAGATGAGGCGATCTTTTGGGCAATTCATTCTGTTCCTTCCCTTGAGTGTGATTTTGAATTCAGTACTACCTCCGATGATGATATGGGTTGAATTGTGTCACCCCAAAATGTATATGTAGAAGTCCCAATCCCTGGTACCTCCGCTGTGACCTCAATTGGAAATGAGACCATGGCCGATATGATCATGAAGATGAGGTCGTGTGGGACCTCATCCAGCCCGACTGGTGTCCTTATAAAAGGGGCAAAGACATCTCCACAAGAAGGGGGCCACGTGAGGTCTGGAGCTATGTAGCCACAAGCCAAAGAAGTCCCAGAGGCTAGGACCGGCCTGGAGTAGTCTTTCCCACCACCCCAGAGGGGCGTGGATCCCCAGCACCTTGATCCTGACCTCTCGGCCTCCAGAGCTGGGAGACAATACGTTTCTGCTGCCCGCGCCGCGCCCTGTGGGGTCTTTTGGCCAGCAGCCCGAGGAGACGAAAGCACAGGGCATTTGGACCCTGTCACCTACGCCTGGTCGGTGTTTCTGTCGATTTCCTCCCTGACCGGAGCTACTCTGGAAAATTCAGAGCTCTGTGAGTGTCCTGGGAAGAAGACACTGAAAATGGTGTGTGTTAACTGTGGGAGGAGCAGGCGCAAAATGAGGAAGATGAGGCCACGGTTTGCTTATTTTACAAATCGGCGTAGGGTCCATCTGAAAAGTTCTTCCCTGGGGAGACCCCAGAATCCATAGCCCCGGGTTTGACACCCTTCTGGACCCCAGAACCAGCTCCCTCGGTAGCTCTGAGAGCCCCTCATTCTTTTCAGTGGTGATTGCATCATCCCGGAGTGAACTTCCAGAGAACTTCTTGGGGTGGGCAGGGGTCTTAGTTACGTTTGATGTCACTTGCTCCATTTTGTGGGCATAGCTGGTCACACACAGAGCCGAGAGCTTGTTCGTGGGCTGTCACACCTACTCGGGGGAAGAGGGGACTTTCTGGAATGCCCTGTTTACTTCTGTGTGGCGCAGGGGAGACTGGGAAGGTTTTTTCATTAGTTCCTACACATACTTTATAACCCCAGTTCCTCCCCCCCTCAGCTAGCTTTCTATAAGTAAACCAGATCTGTTCCCTGAGGACAGATTGTTCCAAATTAGTAACAAAATGTGGAATTAATTAAAATGCAACCCACACACCAAAAACAAGTAGTCCTTTCTGAGAAGTAAAAGGGCCCATGTTTCACTTAAACTATCTTTTTCAGGATGTGACCCTTGACTGGACTTTCTTGTGCGTTCATGAACCTGAGCCAAGCAGGGTGCAAAGCGCATGCTCAGAGGGGTGGCTCGGTTTCCAGACCCGCGCGCTGGCTGTGTGTCCGGGCAGGTTCCTCGGTGGCAGGAGGTTGATGCTGTTTCCCCAGCAGGGTCCTGCAGTGGATGAGTTCAGGTGGTTGATAGAATGCCCTGAATAGGCATCTGGTGCATGGTAGACATTCAATCAAAGGTAGTTTTTAACACCCAACGTGGTTGGCCTCAGGCAACCTGAACCCAGGCCTCGGCATGTCATGGATAGAAGGCTTTGAGTTTGAGGGACAGAGAAAAGCCTCAAACTCTGAAAATTCACTGAACAGGAAAGAGAATGATCTTCAACCCAGAAACCAGGCAGATATTCCAGTACTGAGCAGCCAGTATGGCGTGGGTACTAGCCAACTGGGAAGAATGTGAGCACGTGCAAGCAGAGGCGGCTGGGCGAGGGCCGGGGGCTCAGGGTGGCCGGCCAGCTGGTACAGAAGCATGACATACTGGGCGGACTAGCTACAGATCAACCCTGGCCAGAAGTAACCTTCAGCACATCACCCACTGCCTTTAAATTGTGTGTAAAATTAAATTTAGGGTTGTTGCAAGCTGAGACTGTGGTTACCCATGGCAACCTTGAGTTCTGTCTAGGTTACCGCAGATTTTAAACCGAGTGTCAAGAGGCTGCTAGAAGGTGTTACTTGGAGAAGTAACTGTAGATAGTGAAGGAGGAGAATGAAGAGAGGAAGAATTGCCAAGTATAGCTTCATAAGATGGCCTCTGGGCCATTTAGCACGAGGGTCCTGCCTACCTGAACATGCCCAAAGGCACCGGCATGCTATTCGGAGGGAGGTGAAGGGCTACCCTATTTCTGGGTCATTTGCATGTGGGCATAGTAAGGAGTGGCCATCATGATGGCCTGGAGACAGGCGGGGAGGGTTGCATATGTTCAGCTTGCTGTTTAAGAAGCCAGAGAAGCATGTAATATACTTCAGAAGGACTTCCATTACAGAAGGTTAAAAGGAAAACAAGTTTCAGCATTTAAAATTCAATTATCTGGAAAACTCGTTGTGTGGAACAGCCCGTTCCCCAAGGGCGCCGGGGAACTGAAGCGTGCAGACCTCACGCCCGTGCTCGCTCGCTCTTCTGCGCCTGCTCTCGTCACAGACTGTTTCATCTCATGACCTGACTTCTGGAAGGTATCCCAGAGTTCATCCCAGTCCTCTTTTCTCATTGTCCTGAGCGGGAAACTGAGGTTCCAGCAGGTGGTTTCCCGGAGTCAAGCTATCCTCCTAAGAGAAGAGTGAGGACTAGAAGTCAGGGCCTCTGACTCAGTTTTTTAAAACATTTTCTTGCCCGGCCGGTGTGGCTCAGGGGATTGAGCATCGTCCCATGGACTGAGAGGTCCTGGTTTGGTTCCCAGTCAGGGCACTTGTCCAGGTTGCGGGCTTGATCCCCAGTCGGGAGTGTGCAGGGGGCCGCCGATCAATGTTTCTCACATCGATGTTTCTCTCTCTCTCTCCCTTCCTCTCTCTCTAAAAAAGTCAATAGAGACATATTTGAAAAAATAAATGAATAAAAATTCTTCCGCACTACAAACAGTAACCAATGAAATTAGGATAGTTTTTCGTTAACCACTTACTGTTGACAGTAAAAACACATAGAAAATGAAGATGTTCTACATATTCTGTTCATATTTTTCTATCCCCAATCTCTGAATGGATGGTAATGACATCTAGAACCTTTCTCCTCAACAGGAGTTTAACTTCTAGCAGCTAAAAGCGTAACCGATGGCGGTTAGCATGGGCACGGGAGCTGGCTGGCCGGGCTTTCCTGGGTAGACCGTGGGGATCTTCCACCGACGCCCGCCCCCTTGTGGTTGAAGTCAAGCACGTGCGAGAAAGTGCTGGGAGCTTCCGTCAAGCTGATCATTCATTAGTGTGTGTGGGTTTCTAACTGTGCGGTTAGGATGGTGTTTTCGGCCTTCAGAGCTCCCCTAGAAGGGCAACCCCAGAGCCACCCCTGAGCAGAAAGTGACTCAGGCACCATCCCCCTCCCTGGGCGCCTGGTGTCCTCACGCTGCCCCCAGGAGGTGCCCACCCCAGTTCCCCCCAGTGTCATCCCCTCCTGACGCTCACAGCCTTCAGGTCCCCCACAGGCAGATGAGTACTGATCTGCTGAACCCACTGAGTGGAGGTCTCTGTGACGGGTGGTGGAGGGAATCAGAAAGCTCAAGAAAGTGTGAGCGGCGGGCAGTGTCAAACACTGCGCGGCCGAGGGGTGCGTCTTTCAGAAACCTGGCGACTTTGGCACAGCCTCAGTGACAGCCTCAGTGATCCCCAGAGCCACTTGCAGAGAGGCCCTTCAGGATCCGCTTCTTCCTGTGCAGGAAGAGATTGCATAACAGGGGCCACTTTCCAGGGCTGACCGGGGTTGAGACTGTGGAGCCCCATCCAAGCGTGGTCTCCAGTCTCACCCCAGTGGCCTCCTCTCCTCTGGTCTCTCATCAGAGCCAGCCGCTGGGGACCGACCAGCCGTGGAAGGTGGAAAACCCCCATAGCCCACTTCAGACACTGCCTTCGAACCTTTTCACGTTGCTTTGGGGGAACTGTAATTGTAAGCCGTAAAGAGCAAAAAGATAAAAGCAGCTCAGTGTGATTATAGTGTTACAGGCCAGACTTGATACCTTTTCCTCTGGGGGCACTCCCGGACCACTTGCAGAAATCTCACCTTTTACTTCAACTTTCTTATGTCCAGGTAGTAAATTAAGTGCTAAACATTTTTATTCTCCCGTTTTGGGCACCAGATGCCTTCAAATGACTCTTGAGTTTTTCTTTTCCCAAAGGCCATGGAGTTCCAAGCTTCGGCCCTTGCTCTGTCTTCTGAAGCGGAGGCAGGTGATGAACCGGCCTGGCCTGGCTGTCGGCCAAGCCCAGAGGTTAAAACACTTGAATTCCTGTCTCTTGGTATTTGACCAAGGGCCTCCTCCTGGAGGGGAATAAAATCTGTTATTTTCAGGACACAAGTATGTATATGTGTGTCTATCAGTTGGGCAATTTACAATATAACATGTTTTAAACAGTTATACAGATTTTTTCATGGGACTCTTCTTTGAAGTATGATCTTCTTCCCAAGGTTTTGAGGTTGCAAGTTTCAGCTAACTACATGTGACGTGGCCATGGAGACGTGACTACTGCTGGCTGTTTGGATGGCTCAGCTTACCAATGTTGAAATGTCCAGAGCAACCCTCAAAAATGTGGCTGTCCGGGTTCTGAGCATCTCCCAGCCACAGAGACCTGGAGGCAGGGTGGTCAGCAATGATCTAGGAGCCAACGCATCCCACGGTTACCTTGTTCAGGGCTCTTTCTTCACCAGAGGAAGGATAATTCTACCATTTACAATGTCTTTTGGACTTAAATTTAGACGTTGCCTTTTGGAGCTTGAAGGGAGATGGAAGGCCGGGCTATTTCCGTGGCTGAAGTATATGTTTGCTCAGCCTT